ATTCTGTACAGTTTAGTTATGTTACCAATAATTATCAATATGCAATTTACTGCCATCCTTCATATTTAGCTATTTTTGGTGGTAGTGGTTGTGATCTTATTGTTCAAACTGGGGGCAGTATTGCTTGTAATAGTAGTAATTATAATAACATTAATATAGTAAATGATAGTAAATATGATGAATTAGAAGTATTTCAAATAATTGACAAAAAATAAATAATATTATTGTATTTTACTATTTTTAGTAGCTAATAAATTTTTTTTAATTAAAGATTATTTATCTATATTCTTCTCTCAATAGTTTTTTTTTAATGTACTATTCATAAAAAAAATAATGACCATCCAATGTAGTTAATAATATTTTATTAAGCAATAAATACTTATTACTATCATAGTAATGTTTTGAGCTCATGGATCCCTTGAAACGCGTCCTTTAGTACAGAATTTATAACTAAATCAATATCAATAAAATATATATCTCTGATTGAAGTTTTGTTTATGCAAATTTTTCTCTTAGTATCAGAAAAAAAAAATCCATTCATAATGCTATATATGTTTTCTTTTTTGGATCAATAAAGAAAAATAATCTTTGAAAAGGTAGATGAATGATACTATTATTAATAATTATTCTTATTGTACATGTATTTATAGTATTGTATTATTTGTTTCTACAATGACCATCAAAAATATTCTAGTTGGTATTACTAATGGGTAATAGGTAATAATATTATGCACTATTAATGTTGGTTTAATTTTTAAACAGATCTATCGTTGAACAATGGATTATTATTATGCGAACATCAAAGGTATTCTATATAGTTGATATATATTACTAATGGTAACAGGTAATATCATTATTAATAATAATTCTTATTTTATGTATTAATATTAATATTTGTTTTCTTAAAACGGATCTACAGTTAATTATTATTACGTGCCACCATTAATAATTCTTATGTCTCCTTCAAAAAATGGATCTATGGTTAAAGAAAAGATTTACCATCAATATCAAAATAACATATTTGGTACTAGGAATGTTAAATTGCTCGTCAGTTCAGCTCAATCCAGGTTTAGAATTCAAGCAGATTGAACTTTTTTTAAAAACAGGTTTTTGAGCAACCCCAAATTCGAAATACAAGTTAAATCGGGTTAGCTCCAAATCTGTTAACAATCAATATTGTTTTTTAGCATTCATTATTTATTTATATTCAATAAAAATAAACGTTACATTTTGGCAATTCATATTTTTATCGTAATATATATTTATCCTTGAGCATGTGGTGTTTCGAGTGGATATTAAAAATATTAAATCAAATTTGTGTTTAAACTCAGTTTAATTATGCTCGACTGAATTATAAATTTGTATTAATTTTAATATGATAGAAATAAAAATTAATAAAGGATCCCATTAGAATTTTCCCGCGACATAATTGCTATTTTAATATTAATCCTAACCTATCAACTTGCCAGTAATAAATATGCTGCAGTCGCGAATAATCTAAAGAATCCTTATATAGTAAATCGAGAAATTGAACAGCATTTGTAATAATCATCGTTAAAAGGAGTATTTGCTCCTATTTGGCCTGCAATTGCTTCGGCTTTATCCAAATATACAATATGCGAGTTGATAAAAAATGATTGTGTAATATCAAGATTAGGGTTATATAACCAGCATCAAAGAATAGATGCAATTTTATTCCTGTAAAACAACTGCATGAAATTTTAAAGGTAATTATAATTATTTATTTAATTTGTTAACAAATTTAAAAATTTTAAAACAAAATAAATGCGTTAAATTCCTTTAGTACTGGTCATGAATAAATAGTCTCCTTAAATAGCAACTCCCCTTCTTCAACCCAAAAGCAGTGACTTCGTAATAAGCAATACACATTCTCAATGTTTTTACCCATCGACAATCTTATTCCTCTGCATTTGCAAGTGAAGTATTCTGAGCCAATTATACTACAACAATTTTTTTACTGGCGGTATAAAGAGAACAAATTATTTTTGACATTATTTATTTATCATAAAAAAAGATTAATAATAACAGATTTTATATTTTTCTCTGTAAATAAATTTGACTGTGAATAAGCAACAAATAAAGCCAATAGTAACAGATTAGTTGGCGAATAATAACGATAAGCAATTATTGGTTTTTCGAGTTGCTTATTCATGGGAGTATAGGGTAATTGGATATAATGATGAATTAACGAACACTATAAGAACTCGTCCTGATTTATTTCCAGCATGTGATAAATTCTGAGCTTTTTAAGAAAAATGATTTTCTCAATCCAATGGTTATAAAACCTAATTTTGGAAATCTTTGTGGAGAATTTGAATTAAGTAATCAATTAAAGGATATTACTAGCACTGCATTTCGAATAAAAAATGACCAGCGCAGAACTTGCACAAAAATAGAATTCTTTCTTGAGTAGATGAATGATAATATACATAATTTCGTTCACAAAGTATATGAGAAATTGAAGTAATTTTATTTCATTAAATATTAAATCCCATTTTAGCAGCTGTGTTACATTATTATTATTGTATATAGTAATTACTTCATCGTAAAAAAATATATATATAAATAGTAATAGTGATATTTTAAATGGATTCAACAATTTTGGAAAAATATTTCAATGAAAATGAAAGGTTATTAAATACAGAAGATTTTTATGATGTAAAAATATATCTTGGTGTAGAACCAAACATTAAAGAAGTTCATGCACATGCATCCATCATATCTGCTCATTGTCCATTTTTTAGCAATGCATTAAGTGATGCAACAAAAGAAAATGGATACTATATTATTGAAAAAGCCAATATTAGTGAAAAACTTTTTGACCCTATTCTCAAGTAAGTTTAAATGAAATTATTATTATATTTATTATATTAACGTTAATTTATAATAATATTTATTTTTTTGAAAGGTTTTTGTACACATGTAAAATAGAATTAGATAATTATTCTGGAGTTGATATTTTGCAAATATTAATTACAGCTGATAAACTAGGTCTTGAGTCATTTTACAATTATACAATGAACTTCTTTATAGAAAAATATGAGGATTATATAAAAGAAAATCCAGTTAAAATTCTACAATCCATTTATTCCAACAATCAATTTTTTGAATTGAAAAACATCTTTCTAAAAAAAATTTATGAGTTTAGTGAAGAATTATTTCAGTCAAGTGAATTTAAATTATTTGAAAAACCAACTTTATTAGAAATTCTTAAAAGGGATGATTTTTACATTGATGAAATAGTTGTTTGGGAAAATATTCTTAAATGGGGATTGGCAAGACATCCAGAAATCAATAACAGCAAAGTTGAAAATTGGTCACCACAAAATTTTGTTGATATGGGTAACACATTAAAAGAATTTATTCCCTTAATAAGATTCCAAGATATTTCTAAAGAGGATTTTGGTTTTAAAATTACTCCATATCATAAGCTTTTCCCAGAGCCAATTTGGAATAACCTTTTACTTTATTATTTAGCTCCTGGTAGTCAACAAACATTGAGTTTATTATCATCAAGGATTCCAAAAATTCATTCACTGACAATCAATCAAAAGCTTACTTTACTTTTTGCAAGTTGGATTGATAGAAAAAGTTCACCATATAGTTCATTAAAGGACATTAAATATGAATTCAAACTTATATATCGTAGTAGCAGAGATGGTTTAAATGCAGCTGCATTTCGTAAAAAATGTGATAATATCAATAAAACTCTTATAGTTGGCAAAATACAAAATTCAGATCAATTAGTAGGAGGCTATAATCCACTTGATTGGAATGGGTTTGGCCATAAAAACACAACTGAAAGTTTTATTTTTAATATTAGTAATAGAAATAATATTAATTCTGCACAGTTTAGTTATGTTATTCGTAATCATCAAAATGCAATCTACTGCCAACCTTCATGTTTGGCTATTTTTGGTGGTAATGGTTATGATCTTAATTTTCAAACTGGGGGTAGTATTGCTTGTAATAGTAGTAATTATAGCAACATTAATATAGTAAATTATAGTAAATATGATGAATTAGAAGTATTCCAAATAATTGATAAAAAATACAATAATCAATATTATTATATTTTACCACTTTTAGTAATAATAATAATAAGTTTATATGTAAACATAGCTAATGCGAATATTTTTTTATTATATTTTAAAGGCTACTACTTCTCTATATTCTTCTCTTGATAATAAATAATAACTTTTTTTTAAAAACCTACATAAATTTTATATCATTATGTTGCTTAGATCTTGAAGAGTATTATTTTATAATGTAGCCTTTATTTATCTAAATCAATATGTAGAAAATTTAAAAATCAAATAAAAAATACAAATAATAAAATTTAGTTTCTAATTGGATATCCACTGTTAGAAATATGTTTTTACCTTTCTAATGGAATTTGTGCCCGCATATTTCCCTTTCCAATTCCGAAGTATTTTTGAGGTCAGATGATCGTGATGCAAAATTCTAATGATTCATCCCTCCACACTAACTAAAGGCCTCAGCTCTTTACCAGAAAAACATCCTTAAACAATTGTCCCTTACCATATTTTACCGAGAGGATAAGATTTCAATATCATAACGTCGCCCATCCCTTCGCCAAACATGAAATATTGTAGAACGAGATTCATTACTCCACATCACTGACTTCCAATTTCCTAACGCTCCGGTTTCTTCTCTTTAAACACCATTTCAAATGTTTGATTACTTACTTTTGATTTTTTTTAATCTAAAATTCGGGTCTTTCATTTCATTGATACTTTTGACATCGTTTGAATAATGAGTAATTGTTAATGATACTGCTGCAATTAAAAAACTGATCACATTTAAGGCTACAACCCTGACTGTGTCCATTTTTATATGACGCAACTATGGGGTTGCAGCCGCGTGTTTGGTATCTCATAGTTTGTCACGTGTAATAATATTTTTAATAATTTCTCCCTTTCTATTCTCTTATATATATACATTATTTAACAAAAAATATGACAAATACTTTGGTTAAAAAAGATTTTGCTGAAGTAGGTTTTGCAAATAATGTAACTAATGATGATGTTAGTACTGGTGCTGGTAATGTAAAAGATTCAATAAAAATTTATTATGAGATTCATGGAAATGGACCAAACAAAATATTATTTGTAATGGGTAAAAACTTATTTGATTGATTGATTGATTGACGATTGGCGTAAAAGATTATGGTTTCTTTGCTAATCATATACATTCACTTGATTATGAATAGGATTAAATGCAACGTCGGGTTCTTGGGAATATCAAGTATAATGATTATTATTAGAATTCGATTAATTGATATCTGATTAATTAAATCATTGTTTATAATAGATAAATTATTTTGGAAATCATAAAGATTATCAAATATGTGTTTTTGATAATCGTGGTGTTGGATGGTCAGGTAAAAAATAAAAACAAAAATTAGTAATATTACATTGATACTGATAATGATAAAGATATCTAATTCTCAATTTCTTCAATGTACTTCGTATCATTCAACTTTTTTACGATTAATAAATGAGATGCACCAACTGGACTTTATAGGTAAACGAATCAACTTATTTTCTTTGTGGCATGAGAACTCTCACACACATATATATATGTATACATTTAATTTATATAGTTTATTATATATATATAATTCAAAATCTAATAATAAAATAAAAATATAGTATCAAGCAAATGGCATGTGACGTGGTTGAATTATTAAATAAGATTGAATGGACTAGTGATGTTAATTTGGTTGGTGTTTCCATGGGTGGTATGATTTCTCAGGAATTAGTATTACTCAAACCTCATTACTTCAAATCTTTATGTCTTACATCAAGTACTCCAGGATTAACAATACCACCGGTATGTCAAAATGATGACAATTATATGTGTTTTTATAGTTAAGTGTTATCATCATCATTCAGTTAAATATTTACTATTTTTGCTATTATTGTCAGATCAATGGTATGCTTATGTTTATGAAATTAATGGCGATAAAAAATCCTATTGCTAAATCTCAACTAGCCGTTGATGTATTGTTTCCCGAGGTAAGAAATTTATATAAAAATAATAAGTTGTTCTCTATTCAAGTAAACTAATTATATAAAATTTTTTTTTTTTACTTTACTAAACAGAATTGGTTGAAATCTCCACCATCGATCGAATCATCTCATAATACAAATAGAGATCATGTGATTGAAGTAATTATAGTTAAATATATTTATTAAGAAAGTCTTATTATAATAAAAAATAATAATAATATTTATTTATTTATTATTAGTCACTTATTCGACGTATTAATAACACTAGAATTCAACCTGTTAGAGGTAAATTAATTAATTAATCAATCCATTTCGATTCGACCCATTTAAAATTTATTAATGTAATAATCTTTTCGAATATTTTAGGTGCAATTGGGCAAATTTCAGGTTTTTTTCTAATTTTCTAACTTTACATGTTTCTGATAAAACAACCCAAATATTAATATGTACATTTCTGATCACATTATAATAGCATGTTTAAGACATTATGTTTCTTCTGAACGTCTTCAAATCATTCGAGATAAAATTCCACAAGTAAATTTTTTATTTTATTATTACAATTGATGGTGATGTTTAAGTTTTTAAACAGTCATTATATAATAATTTCTTTAAAAATTAGATTTTAGTGGTGACTGGAAGTTGGGATAATCTTGTTAGACCGTCAAATAGTTTCTATCTGGCTGAACAACTAAATGCAGATTTTGAATATTTTGAAGGTAATTCAATTAATCAATTTATTAATAATATATAATCATTAAAATCACCAATTAATAAATTAATCATTTAATAATCAAGGCTCTGGACATTATATACCATGCGAACTACCTGAAAGATACAACTCATTATTAGAGGAACATTTCAAGAAAGCTGGGTTGATTAATTCTTAACAATTTATTAATTATTGTAATTTATATTCTAAAAAACTTTTTTCTCTATATTTATTATTATTTATAAAAATCAATAATTTCTTTTTAAGTATCGTTGTTCAAATCAAAAACGTTCTTTCCTAAGCCTAATAATATAAAATCATATAGGAATACACTGCTAATTAAACATACACTTATCATACTAAACACAATTGAAATTAAAATATTGGTATTCTTTGATAAGTTCGGAAATGCCACGAAATTGCTGTTAATATTTTTATTATTGTAAATAATAATATTGTTGTTATTGTTGTTGTTGTTTAATAAATTATTTAAAGATATTGGCGAATTTAAATTATCATAAATACTATTACTACTACTAATATTATTATTGGTACTATCGACATCATGATTGTTATTGAGAATCTCCAAGTCATTAGTAGAATCATTTTTAATTGGACTAGTAATTACTAGAGTTGATGAAGTAGTAGAAGTGGGTGATCTTGATGGTGATTTTCTTCTATTTAAACTTGAATAATGAGGAGATAAATTTTGTTTTGTGCTATTAGGAAGAAGATAGATATTTGAAATATTATTATTATCACTAATGTTATCGTCACTTTTGTTATTATTGCTATTGTTATTATTGTTATGATGAACGTTTGTATTTATTTTTAATAAATTTTTTTTCGGCTGTAGATAATTATCATATTGATTATGTTGTCGGTAAGAAGATAAAGTTAATTCACCGTCGTCACCACTACCGCCAATGCCTTCACTATTGTTGCCTTCATTTTCACTAGGATCTTTATTATCTTCTTTTCTTCTATAATCATAACGATCATAACTTGTTCTTAGTAGTGAATTATCATTATTACTATTAATTAGACGGCAAGAATCGAATGATGATGACGATTTGCTTTTATGTATTAATAATACTGTCGGAGCTGAATCAGTCACAATTGAATCAGGAGAAGGCGGCAAAGATGATATTTTAAATGGTGAATTCCAATTTTTTTGATTTTCAGATATTATTGAAATATCTTTCATATTATATTCCTTATTATAATAACCATTTTCAATTTCATTGTCATCATCACCATCATCATCATAATCATCTTTTTCATCTTTATTTTGATTTGATAAGTTCTTTTTCCCATTTAAATAATGTTTATCATCAACATCATTATCAACATTGACGTCAACAACATCATCATAATCTTGAATTCTCATAAATGAATTATTTTGTTGACTTCTATAATATAAATAAAATGGTATAATGAAGTTACAAATACTTGTAAATATCAATGTTGTCCAATTCATAAAAACATTTAACCAATATCCAGTCTGAAACGGTATAATTATTATCCATGGTAACGCACTTGACAATATATTTGCCAAATCTGTATTAATAATTATAATATTAAAAACAATATGTTATTAAGTTATATATTTATATTATATTATATTATATTATATAATTAATTAATTAATCAAAATCAAAATACTTTTTCCGCAATAATTATTTCTGATTAGATTGTATTTGATAATAATGGTATAAACTGGTATGCTGGTGATTAGTATAGCCAATGGAAATAAATATGTTGTAATTAGACTAATAATTGATCTTTCATTTGAATCATTAATTATCGAAATAATATTTGATGATAAATCCATTTTATATGACATTCCACCAAATATTCCCAACAATAAATAAATAACCGTTGATATTATAATTGAATAAAATATTGATTTTCTAATTGAGACATTTGGATTCTAATTATAATTTTTTTGGGAGAGTGAGAAATTGATTAATTGGAAGGAAAAATAAATATAATAAACTCCAATCAATCAAATGCCAATAAGTAAGCTTACCAAATCATTTATCCAACTTGGAATTGTAATTATGAACGAATAATTTAACAAAATTGTTCCAACCACTTGGCTTATATCGTCACCAATTATTGGAACAAATTCTTTATTTAATCCATGAAAACAAAATGTAATTATCCAAGACATCACTATAAATATTAACACTAAAAATGAAACTGAATAAGAATATAATATAATAGTTAGTAATTCCCATCATACTACTAATTAGTGGTGTTGGTTTATATTTATAAAGTGACCAAGAAAATTTTAAATAATTTACCAATTTGAATTCTAACATTATCAACAAGATCCATAAGTCCTAATGGCATAACTATGCACAATGCAATCTAAATGAATAAATAAATAAATAATATATATATAACTTGATAAAAAAAAATCCTTAATTAAATTCTCAAGGTTCTCAACTCCCAATTATAATTTGCAAAATCCTACCAAATAACCAAATGTAACCAGCATGGTTTTATCACCAAATGGACTTCCGTCTGGTAATTGTTTATAAACACAGAAAACCCCCGAATCTGGATAAATTCCAATTCCACAAGTTTTACCGAGCAATGAAATCATTAAAGAATCCATTGTTTGTGCCGATAATATTATACATGCTATATTAATCGATTGGATTGATATAAATAAGATACATTGCATCATTAAACATTTATATTTATTGGAGATCAATAATGTCGATAAACTTGAAAATTCAATCTTTTTCTAAAGAAAAAGAATTAAAATTATTGGAGGTTTCGATAAATTAAATACGCAATGATACGATTATTGATTGATGTTTCTCATTCTTTACCTGAAAATTGTTGTTGCCTGGAATTGCGCTCAAAGCTTCACATAAAAACAAAGAAGCCGTCGCACTCAACATTATTACTATTGCAACACAAATCATTGGTCTAGTATAATGAAATAATTTTAGGATTGAATAGTATTGTTACGTATAATACGATAAATCATAATTATTAATATTTTACTTTACATCAACCATCCTGCTGTCTGGAATAATAACGGAACTTGCAAAAAAAAATTAGAAATTAATATTATTAATATTATTGAGTTTTCAATAAGATTCTCATAACAACGTTAATGCAATTACTTGTTACAAGTCCAGGACCTGTCATCGATGATACTAGTAACGCAACGCTGCCTAAAAATGATATTCTACCATTTGTGTTTGATTGCATTTTTATTTTTAATTACCCAAATGGAGATAAAAAACTATGAAATTTTTTAACGTTAAAAAAACGTTAAATTTTTTGTGTTTCGTGTAAAATAAACTTTAACTTTATTTAGAATATAATAATAAAATAATATATATATTTAAATATGATCGACATTATTATCTGACAAGTTTGTTTGTTTATTTATTTATTTATATACAATACAATTTTTTTAATCCTGACCAACCAAACCAATCACGTAATTATTACCATCAGTCCTCTCTAGCCGCAGAGGATGTGCACAATGATGAGTGCGAATGGCGATGCTGATTTATTTGAAGGTGGTATTATTATTATTTTTTTTTTTTGATAGTTTTCATCTGGAATTTAATTTTAATTAATTTATATAGTTTGAAGTTACAGATTTGTCTGATATGTTATTAATAAAAAACGAATGGTTTAAATCACAAACCCTTGTTGTTTCAAGATATATTTACAAAAACTCGTCTTTTTCATCAATAAAATTAATATTGATGATGATGATGTTGACTATTACTATTATTACTAATCTTGTTAGTATTCCAATTTTAATCTTCTGACTCTTCTTTCTTACGACGAAACGACTCTAACCATTTTCGTCATCCTCGACCTCGCATATTTTTTGATTTCTTTAATTTTTGTTAAACAATTCATAACAAACATCTTGAAATTGGTTTATTAAAAATATATTGGTATTATTTATCCTCTTTAAAACTACAATTTATAATACTATCTTGTTGTAAACAGGTTTGATTAATTGTAATTGAACAGAGCAGCCGATAATTAATTAAAAATCTAAAATCATCATCTTTTTAACTTGAAGTTCGCATCCACATTCATCTTTAATTTTATCTTCATTGTCTTGAACCTTTATTGTAGTTTGTTGAATATCAACGACCGTTATTTCATCAATATCACATCTATTCAAGGTATTTGAAGATGGCGACGGCGATGTGGTTGGACAAGTTTGTTCTTGCAATTTTTCCTGCTCTTCTTTACTTTCCTGTCCCAGGATATTGTCGCTATTGTCGTCATCACCACTTTGATGTTTTTTTGGTTGTGATTGACATTCAGAGTTATTATCATTATTACTAAAATTTTCTAGCGAGACAAATGGTTCTGATTTTAAATCACGTAAAAAATCTTGATTCATCAAATATAATATACAATTAAGGAATCCTCCCAAGTTAAAAGCTATTTTTAGAAAAAGTAGGAGAAAAGCCACGAAGTGATAATAAATGAAGTGGTAAATAAGCAAAGCAAGTAAGTAAACTAAATCAATTTTCATAAGCCTCAATATTCATACAATTAAATAATTAATTTTACCAACGATAATGATGACGTGTATCCAAACATCACCTTCGTATTTCGTCATAGTATCAATTCCAAATGGCACGATCGGCAACCATTTCACAAAATTCAAGATGTAAATAAAAATTTTTCGTACTGCTTGTTTCTCCAATCTATTCCATCGACTTATTCTTTCCGCCGAATCTACCATTTCTTCACGATTAACTTTAAATATTGTCCTCAGAGTTTTATAGTAGCAATAACATGATATTATTAATGATGAGCTGAACATTAGACATGCTTCGATGAAAATATAGTTTGGATCCGGAATCGTCAGACACCAGTACCTTGATTGGCCGAGAGTCGGAATTGATGGCAATGTTAATGTAATTGAAGTTATGATTATCGCCAGAAATAATTTCCTGCAATATCATGATTATTATTATTATTATTATTATTATTATTATTATTATTATTATTATTATTATTAATGTGATTAATTTGCCGTAAATATTAATAATAAGCATTATTATTCTTACCAATCATAAGAGCCAAGCTTAAAAGTTTTAAATTTTATCACTCGCTAATAATGTCGATTAATAATAGAAAATCGATTATTTCTATTTTATAAAGTGCCTTTTAAGATTATTTATAAGATTATTTATTACTACTAACCAGATAAGTGATTATGGCAATACTGGTTATCAGTAACACGTTAGCGTTTATATAAAGAAATAATAGATAGGCAAGAATTTTACAAGGTAAATTGGGTATTATCGAATTCCTAAAATACGAATTAAAAAAATTTGGCATAAAAACACAATCTAATAATAAAGATGGCAATATGACAAGTGAAAATAAAATTACTAATTATCAAAATAAATCTTCTTGATAAATAAACAAATATTTAAAGTCACCTACATTGAAAGATGTCAGAAATACTTAGGTAAATAGGTATACGGTTAGAAATTGAAGGGTGTTTACACTTTCTTTTGGTTGCTAAACATATCTGTACATTAATCGATTGTTGAACAAATAACATTATTATTATTATTTATAAATAATATAACATAAATAATTAAAATAATCAAATATACAAACCACAAGAAAACAACAAAATAAATTGACGTGGCCAAAAGTCAAGGCCGTTATATCAACGATACGAGTTGAATCGTCGAATTGCTGATAATGATCTATTGCAGTGTTATTTTCATCGTCGTTTGATAACGAGGAAGTAGTTGGCAATGAGACATGATAATAAGCCGATGTAATTATTCTTTTCTTTAATATCAAAGAAGAAGAAGATGATGATGATGAAGGAGTTGAAGAAGAAGCGGACGGTGATGATGATGATGGTGATGGTGATGATGATGATGACGATGGCGACGGAAATGAATAAATCTTAGAGGCGTGGAATATTATTATAAAGATTATTGTAATTATTAAATAAATTTTAAGATTAAAAGTGATCAAATGCATTTCATAGTCAATGTGCAAAAATTATTAAAGAAAAATTATTTATTTGTTTTATTTAGTAAAGGAAGTAGAATTATTTACACCGAACGTGTAGTGCAATATTTGTAAGTCGCGTGTTTATTTGTTGAAATAGATTATATATATAAATAGATATATCTTGTATATATATGTGTATATATATATATATCTTTATATATTTGTCTGATATATATATCCAGTGTCTTATCCGACTAAATTTTTTTTTTGTAAAAAAAAAATCAAATAAATTCACACAAATTTATATATTTCTGAAAAAAAGAATTACGTTATTTGTTTTGCATGTAAATCTTCCCATATACTTGATGTTAATTACAATTCTTTTATTCTCTTCTTCTACTTTAAAGTTGTCATAATTAAATAAATAGATATGCACTTAAAATAATTTGGTAAAATTGGTAAAAGCCTAATTTCCTCAGGAAGATATTGTTAACAAATTACATTTTTGTTGAATACACTTGACACTTGATTTATAAACAATCAATAATAATTTAAGCATAATAATAAGATGAACAATGTCAAAAATAAATTAAAAAAGTTTTATTGATTTTTACCCAAAATAATTATTTTAATTAGTTTTTCCAATTCCTTTCGCCTTCTCACGATTGCAAACATAATCGCAAAGAGCTATTTATTATTAATAAAATTTTTAATTAATTCGTTATTGGTAAATTATTATTATTCCTTTTGAAAAAAAAAAACAAATTAATAAAAAAGTTCGAACCAATTAATTAAAATAATTATGTAATTTGTTTTTTTTACGGATGCAAACAAATAACATGACATGTTAATGTTAATAGATATATGTATATTTCCTTCTAATATTGGAAGAAGTTTCATCACTTTAAGGGGTGGAGTGATCGTCTATCCAAAAAAATCCAATATTTATATTGGAAACACAATAAACTCCCACGTATGCATATGCCCAAAATCGCTTATTTAATGGAATAGGCTACCACCAGGTAAAGCAAATGAAGAATGTAATTTCTAAAAAAATAATAATAATAGGACATGATGGTTTGTTGTAATTTATTGTATATAGTTTATTGTAATTATTGTAGTGTAATAGAAATTTCTTTGTTCTATATATAATAATATGTTTAATATGTTTGTTCGAGCATGCTAATACAACTAAATCCGATTAATCCGATTAATCCGATTAATAATTAAAGAATTAGGGATCTTGTTATGACGGAATAATAATAATAATAGTAATAAATAATAATAATAATAATAATAATAACAAACAACAACAAATTTATCAACGTGGATGTTTAATAACACCTTATATTCCAAAAATGTATTAGCGTTATTATGCATAATATAAGCTGCAAGGGTTTTCACAGATTTTTTAAAAATTACTCGTTACTCTTGTATATATATCTGCTCAATAATAATAGTAATCCTTTAATAAAACGTCATGTTCAAATTGGTAGTAAACACTTGTATTCCACCGCGCATCTTGTTCTTTGTCGGGATTAAACATTAATTAGTATTAGTATCAGACTCCTTGGAGTTGATCTAGGTTCGTATTTATCATTTAATTGAACTAAATAAGTACAAAAAATGTTTTTTTGAAAATGAAAAAAATCAAGTTTTAAAAAATAAATATTCCAAATCAGTCAAGTGGATCAATCCATACATTGTATGAATATAGAAAATTAAGTGTATGAAAATTGATTGGCTGATAAATCGGTGTTACACATATTTATTAAGAAGTTTTATTATTATTAATCAAAAAATGATTAAAATTGATTTTGTTATTTTCTCCCTTAATAAAAAGAAAAAAGAGTAAAGAGAAAAATGTCACAGGAAATGAATGATAATTGTTGTCCGTTATGTTTTTCTAGAACGTCATTTTTTGATATTAATCTTAATTTAAGACTTTTAATATGTGAGAACCTTGAGGTAAGTAATAATGATGATGATGATTAATAATAATGAGAATGAGGAAGAATAATATTTATTTATTTATTTATTTATTTATTTATTTATTTTTTATTATTAATGAATTATTATTCCCTAGTGCTCTTATCCATTTGATAAGGATATCGAAGGATTTTTTAGTGAGATAAATAATGATAATTATAATAATGATGATCCATCTCTTCAATTAACTACAGCTAATGGTAATGATAATGATAATTATAATAATGATGATTCATCCCTTCAATTAATTACAACTAATGGTAATGATAATGATAATGATAATTATAATAACAACAACAATGATAATAATCAGGATAATGGAAATGGTTTGTACAATGTTGCTGATTCACCAGTATCAGCTTCTACAACACCAATAATGACAAGTAATGAAATAACATTATTGCCAGAAACTGCACAAATGGAAGCTCAATCATCATTCATAATAGCTCCGGCGGAGATAAATGACATGGAATTAAATAATTTATTATTACTAAACGATCCAACAACAACCATGAACACAAATATTTTGCAAGATTTTTCAGAATTTGCCGAATTTGCCGAATTATTTAAAGAATTCCCAGGATCATTAGCATCAATGTCAGAAGAAACTGTTGAAAATATTCTAAATGATCAAAGTAACTTTGATTTTTCGTCATTTTTATTAAATAACAATAATATCACTGATGGTGGTGGCGTTGATGGTGGCGGTATAATTGCTGAAGTTGCTGTTGCTAACGATGATGTCATTACTGCTGATAGCATTGTTAATGGTGGTGGTGAAGTTGCTGATCAAAGTCAAGATTTAATTGCTCAACTTGGATTTTTCTTTCAATGAATGTCTAATTAGTTAATCACGAAAAATTAATGTTTATTTATTTATTAACAACTAAAGAGAAATCATAAATTATAATTAAATATTAATTAAATATTAAATTGAAAATGTGTATGTATGTATGTATTAATTATTATTAATTTTGCCAATATTTTTTTAATGATATTTTTAGAAAAATAATAAAGCGTTAATACTAATGAAACTGACAACAATCATAACAAATCCAACTTGTTTATTAGTAGATGAGGCACTACTATTAGTTGGTGTTGTTGATGGTGACGTCGATTGACTGTATAACAACATATAAATTATTAGTTATAAAAAAATTAAAGCTTTTTTTTCTTATAAAAAGTAATAATAATAATAATAATAATAACAAAGGATTACTAACGTATCTGTTCCAGGTGCTTGTTGTGTTGCCGCTGATGATGTTGCTGACGATGATGCTCCTGTTGATTGTGCTATTTCAGGTGCTGTTACCTGGAAGAATTTAAATATTAATTAAATAGAAAGATCAAATTAGTAACCAAAAAAGTGGTAAATCGCACAATTTATAAATGTAATATATTGTAAAAAATCATTACCGTGGGACGAGCTGGAATCCTAAAAAAAATAAAGAATTGAATAATGGTAAAGATAAATATTTGAATAAAGGTAAAGAGAGGCGAGGATGACGAGATTGATTAAATTAACGGGTAAAATCGTCAGAATAATTGATTAATAAGTGAGAACAATATAAGTTTCTTTACTTACTGAGCACAAGCAAATGTTGCAAAGACCGAGAAAATAACGAAAAGAATCACCAATTGTTGATTGAACTTCATTTTTATTAAAAAAGAATTTTTTTTTTTTGTTAAAATATTGAAACGCTTTGCTTTTTAAAAAAAATTTTTTTTTTGGGATACAAAATAAAATTTTATTAATGTCTCTATTTATATTAAAATTTATTTGATAAAAAATCATCCGTTAATTAAATATTATTAGTATTTGTGTGGCTTTTCTTTTTCTTTTTCTTTTTCTTTTAACAGTTAATATTTAATGGTCAAAATCAAGCAATCATTCATCAAGATCATATAGTAAGAGTGCTAACATTCTCAACATCATTGATATTTTTAAATTTAACTCGTAATAGTAATTATTATATGAAAAATTAAATGTCGAGATGCTTACTTAAATTAGTACTAATGTTTTATCAAAGCGGGAAAACCGTATTATTTTTATGATTATTATTATAATAATGAAAACATTCAATCGAAATTAATATTGTATTACAATTAATTATATATTTTTTCTCGGCACTGATCATTCAAAACGCATTAATTATCTATATATAATTTTTCGCGAGTTAAAAAGGTTGATTGATTTAATTAGTGATCAACAGGATACATAACGAATGTAACATCACGCACATTGTTTGTAGGATAAACGCTTGGATATTATTGATTACTATTACATATATATAAAAAAATTATTACTATTATTTTTATCAAAACCGTTTTGCTCTATTTCATCTACTCCAATCGTGATTGGGGATTATAGATTCCAAAATCATGAAATAACTTATATGCTTGTTAAAATAAACTCATCGTCTCCTCGCAATTTTATATCCAACGCTGATTTAATTACTCATCAACGCATGAGTACCGGGCCATCGGTGTAAGATTTTAACCATAAACGGCTTAGCCGGTTGATTAACTAATATTTCAAAGTCTTGCTTATAAAGGAGTAAAGGCAGGTATTATAATTCATTTTGTAGGAAACAATTCTTTTCGTTTCGCTTAATAAAACACTTTTGTTGTCGGAAATTAAACAGTAATAGTAGGATTTAATTATCCGTTTGTTATCAGGGTGGTATAGAACCCTAAAGCGTGTAATTCGGTTTTGGTTATTTGCTTTAGTAAGGAAGTAAAGGTTTGGTTTTTGGTTCAGGTTTTTATTTAAGTGTAAAAGTTTTGTTTACGTTTTGTTAAAGAGTTAAGTGTTTAACTAAATATATAATGCCGAAGTTTATTAACTAAAGTCATTATCGCATTGTATTGTGTTAAAGCATTATTGTAAACATACGGATCTTAAACAAGCAGTCTTGTAAAGAGACAAAATTAACAAAGCTTTTATGCGATCAAAGTAAAGTAAAACTGAACAATGAAGGAACTTTAACAGAGTGCTTACGTAGCTTTCTATATAGGTACAAAAAAAGGACGTAAGCAGGAGAATTGCCAAATAAATTCGTGACAATTAATCGACAAAATTCATTCGAACTCAGTATTAATCAATATTTAAATTTTTAAAATGTCAAAAGTAAAAAATGCAGAATTAACAATAGTTTGAAAAGGTAAAACCTTGGGACTTAATTTCTATGAGGAGAATCTCCAAGTGCTAAAAATTCTACATTAAGTAGAAGGCCCAATTTTTAGTTCAAAAAATTTAAACGAAATATTAAATAAAAACAATCATATTTCTACTGATCAGCTAAAGAGAAACTCACAGAAGCAAGTGGCATTGAGGTTTCTAATAAATCAATTTGTAGGGACTTAACATTTATTCATGTGTTGGAGCTGTAAAACCCCTTTTACAGGAGTGTTAGGAAGTGTAAACGATGAATTCCGATTTACAATATTTTGACCAACTCATGTTTGGTGTAGAGATTATGATGTTGAAAATCTTTATCTTATTGGTAAAACATGGTGGTGGGCCTTAGCTAGCATAGAGTAGAAGATGAATCATAGGATTTAGAGGAAAATTTATTACCTTTAATTACAAATGAATTTAATAATCATGAGAAAAAAATTGTTTTCATAATCACCTGACCTCAACAAATGAGAACTGAATTGGAAGCTTGCTCTGATAGAGGAATGGTATAAATTCCATTAGAAAGGATAGGAACATGTATTTCTAACAATGGTGGCCAATTAGGCACTGAATTTTATTATTATTCAAAAAAGTATTTTTTTATTTTTTTCAATTGACTTGGATAAATAAAAAAATATAAATTTAAGCAACGTAAAATTTTATGTGTGATCGATCAAATATGTAAATTATAACATTTAAAAAATTTATCTACACTAGATATTAATACATATAAATTTATTTGAAATAGTAATACCAATTAATTTTCAATTATTTGAAATATTTCTAATTCATCATAGTTACTTTTTTGATTATGTCTTCTTATATTAATGTCATTATAAGAACTAATTCCATTAGCAAAAACAGTACTGTCTGGTGCAAAAAGAAGATCACAACCACAACCAAAAATAGCTAAATATGAATGATGACAGTAAATTGCATACTCATAACCATTGTTGACAACATAACTAAACTGTGCAGAATTAATGTCATTCCTATTATTAATGTTAAAAATAAAACTTTCAGTTGTATTTTTATATACATAATTTCCATTATTTAAATTCCAATTAAGTGGGTTATAACCTCCTATTAATTGATCTGAATTTTGTATTTTGCCAACTATAAGAGTTTTATTGATATTATCACATTTTTGATGAAAGGTAGCTACACTATTACCATCTCTACTACTACGATATATAAGTTTGAATTCATATTTAATGTCCTTTAATGAACTATATTGTGGACTTTTTCTATCAATCCAACTTGCAAAAAGTAAAATAAGATTTTGATTGATTGTTAATGATTCAAGTGTTGTTGACTTAATTCTTGATGGCAATAATTTTAAAACATGCTGTTGTGTATCAGGGACTAAATAATAAAGTAAAAGGTTATTCCAAAATAACTCTGGAAAAAGCTTTTGATATGGAAAAATTTTAGAGCAAAAATCCTCTTTAGAAATATCTTGGAATCTTATTAAGGGAATAAATTCTTTTAATGTGTTACCCATATCAACAAAATTTTGTGGTGACCAATTTTTAACTTCACTGTTATTGATTTCTGGATGTCTTGCTAATCCCCATTTAAAAATATTTTCCCAAATAATTATTTCATCAACTGAAAAATCATCTCTTTTAAGAACTTCCAATAGAATTGATTTTTCCAATGATTTAAATTCACTTGACTCAAATAATTGCTCACTATAATCACAAAATTTTTCTAAATAAGTATTTTTCAATTCCTTAACATTTTCGTTGGCATAAACCAATTGTAAAATTTTAACTGGATTTTCTTTTATGTAATTTTCATGATTTTTAATAAAGTATTTCATCATGTATTCATAAAGTGATTCAATTCCAAGCTGTTCTGCTGCAATTGTTAGTTCTAATACTTCAGCTCCAGAGTAATTTTCAAATTCAATTTTACATGTGTATAAGAATCTTTCAGCAATAAATAAATTATTAAATAAATTATCATTATTATTATATATTAATAATTAAATAAATAAATAATAATAAATGAATAATAAATTTATTTAAACCTACTTGAGAATAGGCTTGAAACATTTTTCACTAATATTAGCTTGCTTAACAATATAATAACCATTTTCTTTTACTGCATCACTTAATGCATTGCTAAAAAATGAACAATGAGCAGATATGATGGATGCATGTGCATGAACTTCTTTAATGTTTGGTTCTACACCAAGATATATTTTTACATCATAAAAATTTTCTGTATTTAATAATCTTTCATTTTCGTTGAAATATTTTTCTAAAATTGTTGAATCCATTTAATTTATTCTTTTAAAAAAAAATTGCAATTGTATTTTTATTGTAGTATTAATGAGAATTGAGCAAAAATAAAATATTGCAACCTATGTGTGACACATTATTAATAAACTGGTTTTTATGACTTAATTTATAAAAATGAAAATTGTAGAATAAATGATGTCTAAAAAATTATCAATATTACTAATAGCATAACAGTTTAAATTTTAAAATGCCAAAAACAAAAAACACAGAATTAACAATAGTTGAATCATGAGTCTTAACCTATCGGAATTTAATGAGAAGAATCTCTATGGTACTAAAAATTCCATATAGTACTGTACTGACTACAGCCATAGTTACATCATGTAAAAATGGTGCAACAGGTATTCTTAACAATAACTTGTTATTTTGATGATGTTAAAAAATCAACAAAGTGAAAGGCCCAAAATTTTAGATTGAAAAAAATAAAATAGTATTGAGATTCCTATTAAAATAATTTGTAGGAACTTAATATTTATTCATGTCTGAGAAACAAAGTGAAAGATGTTTGAAATGGTATTATAGAATGGAAGTCAATGATATGAAGTGATGGATCTCAATTTACAATGTTTCAGCCAAACTCATGTTTGGCAAAGAGATGGGTGACATTATGATATTGAAAATCTTATCCCATTGGTAAAACATGCTGGTGGGGATGATGGTTTTTGTGGAAAGGGCTGAGCCCTTTAGTTAGTGTAGGTGGAGGGTGAATCATTAGAATTTTGGAGGGAATTTATTATGCTTCAGAATTGGAGACTGCTCTGAAAGAGAAAGGGTAGAAGTTTCCACTAGACCAGGTACTAAATTTTATTATTTATTTATTTTATTGAAAAAAAAAATACTAATTGATTTTCAAATTTCTCTATATATTGATTTAGATAAATAAAGGCTACATACCCTTCAAAACCTAAGCAACATAATGTTTATGGGTTTTTTATAAATATCTTCTGTGATCAAATACTTTTGTTCAGGTAGTGCATGTAAATAAAAAAAGTTATTATTATTGAGAAAAGAATTAGTAGACTTTAAAGTATATCAATTTTTAATTAAAAAAATTTAAATTTGTTGCTAAAAATTGTAAAATACAATAATATTATTTTTATTTTTTATCAATTATTTGAAATACTTCTAACTCATCATATTTACTATTATTTACTATATTAATGTTAGTATAAGAACTAATTAAAATAACACGAACAATATTTCCTGATCTAAAAATAAGATCACAACCACCACCACCACCAAAAGCAGCCAAATTTGAAGGATGACAGTAAATTGCATGCTCATAATCATTATTGGCAACATAACTAAACTGTGCAGAATTAATATCATTTCTATTATTAATATTGAAAATAAAACTTTCAGTTGTATTTTTATATATGGAATATCCATTATTTAAATTCCAATCAAGTGGATTATAACCTCCTACTAATTGATCTGAATTTTGTATTTTGCCAACTACAAGAGTTTTATTGATGTTATCACATTTTTGATGAAATGCAGCTACACTATTACCATCTCTACTATGATGATATATAAGTTTAAATTCATATTTAATTTCCTTTAATGAACTATATGGTGAACTTTTTCTATCAATCCAACTTGCAAAAAGTAAAGTAAGCTTTTGATTGATTGTCAGTGAATGAATTTTTGGAATCCTTGATGATAATAAACTCAATGTTTGTTGACTACCAGGAGCTAAATAATAAAGTAAAAGGTTATTCCAAAATAACTCTGGAAAAAGCTTTTGATATGGAAAAATTTTAAAACCAAAATCCTCTTTAGAAATATCTTGGAATCTTATTAAGGGAATAAATTCTTTTAATGTGTTACTCATATCAACAAAATTTTGTGATGACCAATTTTCAACTTTGCTGTTATTGATTTCTGGATGTCTTGCTAATCCCCATTTAAGAATATTTTCCCAAACAACTATTTCATCAATGTAAAAATCATCCCTTTTAAGAATTTCCAATAAAGTTGGTTTTTCAAATAATTTAAATTCACTTGACTGAAATAATTCTTCACTAAACTCACAAAATTTTTTTAGGAAGATGTTTTTCATTTCAATAAATTGATTGTTGGAATAAATGGATTGTAAAATTTTAACTGTATTTTCTTTTATGTAATCCTCATGTTTTTCAATAAAGTAGTTCATTGTATAATTGTAGAGTGACTCAAGACCAAGCTCATCAGCTGTAATTAATATTTGCAAAACATCAACTCCAGAATAATTATCTAACTCTATTTTACATGTGTACAAAAATCTTTCAAATAATTAAATGCTATTATTATAAATTCAATAATTAATTAATCTAATATAATAAATATAATAATAATTTCATTTAACTTACTTGAGAATAGGGTCAAAAGATTTTTCACTAATATTGGCTTTTTCAATAATATAATATCCATCTTTTTTTGTTGCATTAGTTAATGCATTTCTAAAAAATGGACAATGAGAAGATATGATGGATGCATGTGCATGAACTTCTTTAATGTTTGGTTCTACACCAAGATATATTTTTACATTGTAAAAATCTTCTGTATTTAATAATCTTTCATTTTCATTGAAATATTTTTCCAAAATTGTTGAATCCATTTAATTTTAATTTATTTTTTAAAAAAATTAATGTAAAATGATGAATGGTCAATCAAATGTTAATACAACAATATTAAAGAGAATTATGCGGGATAAAGAAAAAAATGATGTATATATTTAATCAATTTTTCTGGTCCTTTTATAAAAATGTTTGAATTACGATAAATAAGTATATACTAGTACTAGTACTAGATATAAGTTCTTGCGACTAATGCTTTTCCCTTTTTGGAAATAAACTCGTATACATTATTTACTAACTTTGTTAGTAAAAGATTTTCTTGTTGCACGATGTTACCCAGTTATTTGTCACAGACTATCTGTTATTTGTCTCTTGACATTCCGAGTTAAATGTGAAACATGCGATATCTCTTTCAGTAAAGCACCTTCTTTGATTAGCCTTTATATAGTTTGCAAAATAGCCTCTTTCGCTTGAGTTATTGGCCAACATGTCATAGAACCTATAACAAAATCAATAGAGTCATGTAGTCAACATTGCGGAGTCGGTTAAGCAGAAAACGGAAAAGAAAATAAATATAAATCACCTGAAATGTCTAAGCATATGAAGAGTGAACGGGCACGACACTCTCCTTCAAACCCGATTATTAATCACTTCTTTAGGAACTTTGAGATAAATTACAGTTTTTCCTTCAACAACCTTGTGGTATTTGGAATTTGCTTTTGATCCCTAACAAGGGAAGTTTTCAATTCATTATATTGTTATCATAAGAAAACCAAGAAAAATATCAACAAATACCATTTTTTTTTTTTCACTTGTATGCTCTTCTCTTGGTTGCATATTATATATTCTTTTTAGGGTTTGTTTAAAGAGAAGTTATCGACAAAATATTTATTTTCTTGTATTTGTGTGTAATAATAAAATTCGAATTTGTCATTAACATCATAATAATAACACCTTTGATAATTTAATTATTTAAATTATAGTCGCGAAGAATAGACTGCACTATACAGCATTTCAAATATTTATAAGTTATTAATTAATAAAGACGAAAATTACATAACCCATTAAATAATCAGATGGATTGATCGATTTATTTTAACGCTTTGACTAGTTGGGACTTGTTTTTAACCGGTAATTCAGTCATATGTATTAATATTACAGTCGAACCTTGTCATAGCGGAAAACTTTATTCAAAATACGTTGTGACAAGAATTTAATATTGATTATCAAAATTTTGTGATCATTCAGATTTGCTCTTGGCAAATGTGGAATGAAAAGATATTTTGATGGAATATGCTCTAGTGGAGGTAACTAAACTGCCCTTAATTGCAAATGATTTAAATTTGTAATAATTTATTTATAATGAGTGCCTAGGTACAAACTTCACAGCTGTTTTTGAATCAGTCGCCAGAAGTCTTGATGGGAATTAAAAATGATGTAGCTATTACTATAATAATTTTTTTACTGATGGAAATTCGTTGTGAGGTAAAAAATAAATTGGAAGCTTGCTTTAAAAGGAAATTCGTATACGACTGAGATTCAACTCCATTGGGTTTAAAAAAAACCATGATGCAGGAAAGTGTTCGTTTAGGCACAAAATTCTATCTGATTATTAAATTAAAAACAAAATATTGCGTTGTGAATCGTCCTCAAATATATTGGATCTGTTGTTTGCAGCCGTAAAGCTTGAGATTGAAGAAGTTATCAATTACTTGCAACTGCAATTCACATCTGATATCGTGAGTGGTTATGCAAAAACTTCAGATGGTAGCTAATGCGTGTAAAAACCATAATTTTAGTAATTATAAATGAATGTTGCATCAATGATATTATTGAAGAAACTTGGGAAAGGTTTTACTGGGAGATTATGTAAATGTTGAAATTGAAAATTTTTCATAAAAGATCGGAAAAACTTAAAACGGATGAACTTGAGATTTGGATAGAGGTTTGAAATGTTGTTATTTGGCCAAACATCCATTGATAAATTCAGATCCTAAAAGGCTGGACTTCTAAAGAAGTTGAAGAGCTTCTTCCAATGATCAAGTTTTTAAAATTTCCAAAGAACATTGTTTTAAAGGCGTATATTCGTACAAGAAGACTTTTCCCAAAGAGCTAGTTGATGACTTGGTCTATTATCATTCAATCCTCGGATAAACTAATTTGTAAATATTATCAAATGAAAATGGATAGTAGATAGAATTACTAGTTTTTTCAAGTATTTGGGATTTCTATTCTTAATGTAATATTAGTTGGGTACTAAATATTGTCATCAAATAAATTCTAATAATACTCATAATTTTAAAATAATAAATGCAATAATTATACGCACGTGATTGATTAATTATGGCCTTGAATCATCATTAAGATGGTGGTGGCGGATCTTGTTATTTAAAAGTATTAAAATGGTTTCGCCTTTGTAACTTAATTTCGTCGTCATTTATTTATTTAATTCTTTGAGCGTCCTAATTTGGTAAATCCCATTTATAACTATACATAGAATGTCATTTATATAACGAATCTATGCAACCCATTCAATTTTAGAGTTATTTGTAGATATAGTATATACAAATTATTGCAGTACAAACATTAATACAACCAATGAACGAATGATCCGATTGTTCGGAATTGTCAGAATGCTGAATCCTCTCTGATCATTGCTTGATTCAATAAATTTTAATATTTTTTAATATTTATCATGATTGGAAAAAACGTGTTTTTTTTTTATAAATTTGCTTTTTTGCAACATATGTTTTTTTTAATCAATCCATAAATATATGTGAATATGTGAATTTGTTTGAACTTGTTTGTATGTATCTGGCCTATTTTCTGGTAAATTCTGGAAATTTTAACGACTTCTCGATTTTTTGATTGATATGATGTTGATGATGTAAAATCCCAATCAAAAAATCAATTAAAAATCATTTCCATATATTTTTATATATATAAAAGGTTATTTTTTCCCAAACTTATAAAAAAACAGGTAGCTAAGCACGCACATGGTATTTATTAAGTTAGTACTCAATTTAGATTGATAAAAAAAACAATTACTTTAGTAGTTAGTTAATCTTTTTTTTTTTCAAAAAAAAAATTACAAAAAAACCTAATTAAACAATATTAATAATTTTCTTATCCCCCTGCCCTAATAAAAATTCATTTCTTCTCAAAAATCCTTTTTTTCGAACATAATAAATTTTTTTAGTTATCAATAATAATATTATTAAATTAAGTAAAGAAAAAAAATATGAATCCAAGAGCCTTTAGGCCGAATAGAAAACCAGCTGCTGTTTTCAGACCTTGGAATGCAGCAACTTTGGGAGTTTGCCAAGATCAACATGTATGTATGATGCACACATTCGCGAAGAAATAAAGAAAAACAATATCCTTTAAATTATATGTGTTATATTCATTTATTATATTTACATGTTTTTATTCATTTTATATTAAAAGGCTTTGACCTTGGATGAGAAAAAACCATTTGTCAATAATAGATATGCGAAATATAATCTTGTTAATGATAATAGTAACAAAGTTGCACCTACTAGATCCAATACATTTCCACCACTATCCTCTACCACCACCACAACCTCATCCGCCTCATCATCATTAACTAGCAACAATGATAAAGATAATAATCCATATCTTAATAGACCTTCAAGAAGTAATACAGTTTCATCTTTTACTTCAACTACTACTTCTGTTGCTTCTACTACAAGTAAGGAGCCAACAACGACGACAACAACAACAATTGATAAAGATGATGATGGTTGGGGCAGTGGTGGTAGTACTACAGTTGAAATTGACCAAAATAAAAATGATGATGATTATTGGAGTGTTAAGGCTGATACTAACCAGAATAACGATGATTGGAATGTGAAGAATAATGAAGAGAGCAATGGAGGCTGGAATGTAAATAATAGTGAGGAAAATATTGAAAAGAATGAAGGTTGGAATATGAAGAACAATGAAGAGAATGGTCATGATTGGAATAGTATAATTGAAAACGCTAGTGAAAAAAATGAAGGTTCAAGTGAAAATACTAATGAGAAGCGTGAATGTTGGAATGAAAATAGTGGTGGGAGGAATGAATGTTGGAATGGAAATAATAATGGGAAGGGTGAAGAAGGTTCGAATAACACGGTTGAAAACACTAATTGGAGTGACAATCAAAAGTATGTAGAAGGTTATAATAGTACAGTTGAAGCTGCTAATTATAATAATAACGATGACTACTGGGGAAATGAAGAAAATCAGTTAGAAAACAGCGAAAATAATAATAGTATTAGTGAGAAGAATAATGAAGATGATTATTGGGGAAGTGAAGTACAAGATAATCAAGATAATAATAGTGATAATGTTGGTTATTGGAATGGTACAAGTGAAAACAAGATTAGTAAAGAAAATAATAATGATAATTGGAATGTTGGGGGAAGTAAAGAAAATACAGTTTCAATCCCTATTCCAATTACTACCATTTCAGCTACAACTTCATCAAAACAAGAATGTCCTAATGTTAATAATGATTTTGATCGATCACTAATCAAAAAATTAAATGCCATATCAACAACTGATCAGAAACATGATGATGGAAAAGAATCCAATAGTCATAATTTTAATCAAAAGATTATAACCAATATTAATAATATTATTTCCAATAATAGTTCTCAGAAAGTTCGAGGTGGTGGTGGTGAACCTAGGGAAATTTTGGTTAAACTTAGTAACATCAACAACAACATCGCCAATAACACTAACACAGCTATTGATACTACCAGTAGTACAAATGGTAAAAAATTTCCAATTTTTGTTTTCATTAATGACAAATTTAAGGAAGAAAAAGAAATAAAATCAGTTATAACACCTCATCCACATCCTTCTTCCACTCCTTCTTCCTCTCCTTCTTCACCTTCTTATTCATCTTACTCCTCCTCCTCGTCAGTATTATCATTATCACCTAAACAATCAGAACAAAAATTGCTTGATCTTAGTGACGATGAAGACAATTCACCAGCTGTAAACAATAATAATAAGAAGGAAACAACTACTGACACAGCTGCTGCAAAAAAAAGGAGATCAGCTGATTTTAAGATAATCGATGTGGAGGGTTTCTTAAAACAAGACTTAGAAGAAGAATTAAAAAAGATGATGGGTGATTTAATGAGTCAAGATTCCACTTCTTCTACCAGTAGCAATCATAATACAACAGCCCAGGTATTATTATTATAAGATAATTTTCTTTGTATTATTATTATAATTATTAGTGTGGTATAATTTTTATTATGCACTTTCTGATTTATTATTTCTATTATTATATTATCATACTATGAATTTTTGTTGGTTTTAAATCAACAGTCATTGAATAATCAATCATTGGATGAACTATTACAATGATAAATGAAGGAGATGTTTATTACATAATTAACTGTTTCCAGATGGGATTAATTGAAAAATGAATATGTTTATAAATTTATATCAATTATCTACATTTTAATTTTATTTTCAATTTATTTTTCAAAAACAAAATTATTATTAATATTAACTGACGTTATAATTTGTAAATTGTTTTTCTTTATTTTTTATTAATAAAAAAAATGTATTTTAGCAAATATAAAAAAACAAACACACGTGCATAATGCGTAATATATAGCAAAATCACTATTACTATTATTATTATTATTACTATTTATTATTATTATTATGCAATGTGAATTTTTAATAATAACCGATCACTCCCTTTTTTGAACGTGTGCCACACTTTTTTGTTTGGAGACTACTGGGATTATCATCATAAATAAAAAAATATTGAATCGATCAATCGATCAATTGCAAACAAAATATGGATTATATAAATATTTGCAGATTCCCGTTTAACCTGTTCGCTTAGTACTCATTACATATGCGCTGATTTTGTTTGAACCCCAAAATCCAGTACGGTATTGATCATAACGTTATGAATATTTTATACTAGCAAAACCATTGGTTTTTAGGTGGGGCCATTGGTTTGACGGGCTATCGAATAGTAAAATAGTTTTTTTAGCGGAGTAAATAAATTGTTTGGGGTTAATTATCATTCTATTGACCAGTTTACACATCATGTTTAGCGTGTTTAACGTCGAGACACTATAAGATATATATAAGGTTTGAAAAAAGGGTCCAAAAAACCGAATCGGTTGATATGATTAGAAAATGGACTGTTGTAATTATAATAAACAAATATCTGAATTATCCCAATTCCATTATGAATCGAATGATTTTTTTCTTACAACAATAATAGATTTTTTAGTAAACAATATAATATTTTTGAGTTGAAAAGGTTTAAAACAACATTTTTAACAACATTTTTTAACGGTATTTTTGCTCGAGTAAAAAAAGAATGTCACCACTATGGATTATAACCATGGCCAATTGAATGGATAATTACATTCTTCCACTTTGAAACTTTGCGATTCTAAAAGTTTGTTTATTCTAATTAGATTATGAGCAATATCTGAAAACCCTATTTGTCAGTGTGTCCTTTAGTAAAAAGAAATTCGATATTAAAGGATTCAAAACGCACACATGATATTGAATTTAAAATTTCTACACCAGACAGGAAATCTGTGTGTGCAATAGGTCAAATTCTCAGCCTTTTGGAATATGAAGACTGTGTTTTTATTCCGACATATCTTCCGCCATTAATGATGATGTGGTTTACGAGACTGCCTTTGGATTTCGTCCTCCATTTGCAATAAAATTTCAAATTTTTGTGGGAAAAAAAAAACAAAAAAAAATTTTAAAAAAAATAACGTGTTTTTTTGCAAAGTTGGCATTATCTTTTTGATAATTTGACTTCAAGAATTACTAGAAGTACTTTTCAGTATTTGTGTGTAGTGATGGGCACAAAAATTATCATTAAGATGATCAAGTTATTAAGTAGTTAATAACTCTATTAGTGACTTAAAAAATACAAACCTGAAGAACTTTTATGGGCAATAAATTTTTTTGCAAAATAACAATAGGGCTTCAAATTAGGAAAGACTTGGCCTGTGTATAGGTTTTCCTTGGGTTAATAACTCTTTCTCAGAATGAAATAGTTAATAAATGGCTAATAACTAATTAATAACTTGGAGTTATTAAGTGTATGGTTAAAAATTCCATCACTATTTGTGTGAAGAATTTATTCCTAGATATGATTTTTTTAAAAAAACTATAAAAAAAAAAGGATATTAATAGCATTTTGGAAACAAACACACTGGTATATCAATGATTACATTTGTTACATTTTTTTTGGCTTCATGAGTACTATTATTTATTCTTCCTCATCTGATGAGGAGGAGGAGGAGGAAGAATAAGAGGAAGAGGAATCATTTATTTCAGAACATTTGGCAAGCAAAGAAATGCATAATAAAAGTAATTTAATTTTCTCTTCATTTCCCATTTCAGATATTTTCAAGGTTGTACGAATCGAAAATTTAATTTCCGAGTGAGGATAAATTTATTTATTTAATCTTAATCAAATCTTAATACTATACAAAATAAATCAAAAATGTTTTTTGAGATGAGAAATGTATCAACGGCAAATTTTCGATTTTTAACATGACTAATTATTTTTGATTATTTCTACAATCTACATCCTCACTCAAAAATGGAGACCTGCATCAAGAAGTCATGATCCCAACACAAAAATTATTGTTGAGAAAATATACGCGAAAAGATTGACGGAGGATTTGATAGCCTTCTGCATACTGTGCTCAACTGCGAAAATTCTAACACACTCTGGAATAGAGATGTCAAAGCCTCAGAAATCTTTATCATGTTGCAACTTATGCAGCAATTGAAAACAGACGGTCAGATATTTTCACTCAACCATTGGCTGGCTTAACTCTAGTCAAACACCTTTCTACTTGTTATCAACCGTTTTTGATCAACATTCGTTTATTATTCGAATTATCATCATTCGTTTATTTGAATTGTTATCGTTCGTTTATTATTCGAATTATTATCATTTGTTTATTATTCCTCATTACAAAGTCATAGGAATGATGCCCGGCTGCAAATTAAGCAGAAAGACAAGGAATTTGAGGACCCATTTATGGGCCCTCTTTGATTTTATAGGTATTGTAAGAGTAGTCCCCGCAAATATTGTCAAAACTTTAAATGTGATACTAATCCAAATCCTGTGATGATAGCATAACATCCTATTTAGATTTAGGCGTTAGAATCACTACTTCGTATGCATACAATTGAAACAATCCTTACTTTCATTAACGCCTCCCGTGATCTCAATAAAGGCTACGGAACTTTTTTTATTTGGAATATCTTTTCAAAATTATCAAAATGGAAAACTAACATAACAGTATATGAAGGAGGAGGTCAACTAATATTAGCTTACCGTGTTGTAAACATTGTCAACCATTTTAATTTTTTGAATTATCAATTGATTTGTAGAGTTCACTTAATATTTTTGAGAATGAAATAATAAAATTACCATAGATTTTGATATTGCATAGAATCCAAGAATTAGTTGGTCAGATTTATTCAAATATAAAAGAAATAAAAAATTGTTAATATTTAACATTATCTTATTTAAATAAGCCAATAATTACTGTATCTAATAGATTGTTTGAGCCGACAGATCAGCGCTTTCTCTTTCATTTGTTCCATTTACCGTAAAGTCTGGAAAGATAGCACCCCCTACTTTAAAACAATTGAGCGTCAATATAAAAAAAATGTTACACATATCTAAAAAGGGGATGCTATCTTTCCAGACTTTACGGTAGCTGCTAATCCTAAGAAAAACACGCCTCACTAGGATATATACTAAGTTATGAAGAACTATCACAAAGACATCAAAATTGTTTCCACAAGTGACTAAACATTATTATTGGCAATAATAATGTTGTTGCTGTTAATTTTTTTTTTTCGAGTTTATTTTCATACGTTTCATACGTTTATTACGCCAAAAATTATTTTAGTATAAATCACGTAGTTATCCATGGATAATTGCTCAAGCGCTAGAATAACGTACACCACGTTACAATACACATGAGCGTATTTAAATATTCTTTATTTTTATTATAATTTACTTTACAAGCTTTAACTTTGTTGCTGAGCAACCGTGGATTTCCAGAAGAATTATACAAATCTTTGAATTATTTGAGATGTAATATTCAAAACTTTTGTTCATAATACCTGGATAAACACAAAAGGCATGTTTCTCTTTTATTAAAAACCTTATGTAATAACTTTATTTTTACCATTAAAAGAAAACTATTGATTTATTTTTTATATACAGACCAAATTTTTTTGTTTAATTTGTAAATTCATGATGTTGTAGTTAATAAATACGCACTTATTCTTGAAATATAAATTATTCATAGATATGATAATTGTGCTCTATATTCAATCCTGGATCTGACAAGGATATATTTATTTATTTCTGGTTTAGTATTAGTTTGCCAAATTTTAAATCAATTGTGTGTTTCGCTCTTGGTCAACTTCAGAAGTTGAATTCACTCTATGAAAAATGGCATTTTGAAGTGTGCATTTAGCATATTTATATATTTTCGGGTGCGAGGCGTTTCTCATGTGTTGTTCATTTTTCATAAAACTTGATGCTTCCTTTGGATAATGTAAACCACGTGTTATGCAAACGTCGCAATTATATCTGGTTATTAATTTATTTCTACACTTTTCCATTTTTTGATATGGAATAACAGTGATCGTAATAAATGAACCATAAAAGTGGGCATATTGATTGATTTCAATTAAGAAATACAAGTATCTGTTTTCCCATGTACTGTATGAACTATTTTGTTTTTCTTTCTATAAAAAAGATTTGAAATGTTGCGTGGCCTTTACTAACATCATTACGTTAAATAATCACGTGCCTTAGAAAGGTTTTGAAAAGGAACTCGGAGCTCTTTCTTATACTTATTAGATTCTTCTATGGTAGAATCGAGTACTGCAATTGATTCAAAAGTTGAGCCGTCAGTCAACCCGACAAATTATCGTCTTTTAAGATATAGTTTGTAACCAAAAGTCATCAGAAAGTTATGCTTAACCACCGCTTTTCTTGTTTACAAAATAGTTACCTATCTGTCGAGTACCATATCGACGAAATAGAAGTTAAAAATCGAAAAACTTTTCAAATAATAATAATAATAATGTATCTAGGATATAAGGTATAAGAATATATAAGATAAATTTTAACATTATTCAGGCCTACTGTTACGAAAAAAACTCTCGAGAAAATAAGAAAATTACTGCTAATCAATAGCATAAAATAAATATTATTATCAGAGTCCAATGTTGTATGATTTTTCAAGTTCACAATAATGATTAAGTGCATCATTCCCAACCCATTGGTTTAAAGATGAGATTGCAGTATTTTCGTATCTCAAAACACGATGAGGCTAATTTCAGTGACATATTTTTCCGAGTGGAATGAGTTTCTTACGTAGCATTTAATGATATGCGTGGGACAATGTGTAAGAGTGTACTAAAATTTTCCATTAACTGCTGCAATAATATCGTCCAAGTGTAATCTAGAAGATTAGTTGATTTAATAAACTTTTGTAAGGACGGATACTGCGTTGGAAATACAATATTGTCCACTATGTATCATGAAATACAGTAGTTATTATCCTTTCGTTAGTATATAAGTCATCATCAACACTAATTTTTGTAGAATTTATCTAATTATTTATTTAATAGCATCACAAAAAATTAATTTTATTTTTTAAAATAAATCTAAAAAGTCTAATTAAAAAAATATTTTTATTATTAATTTTTTTAAATAATATTTTTAGAAAAATAGTAAAGCGCCAACGAAACTAGCAAGAATAATAACAAATCCGGTTTGCTTATGAGTAGAGGAGGCACCAGAAGTATTTATTTGCGATGTTGGTGTTGGAGCTGCTGCATCTGTTGGACTTGTCGGTGTTTCCGATCCACTTGACAATGGTGGTAATATTGTCGATTGAGGAGCCTGCTGTGACCTAGTAGGTGATGGTTTATAAAAATTTGTAAATTCATTAGAAATTGGTTTTATTCTTTTTTAATAGGAAAAAAATTTTATTATTATTATAATTGTTATTTAATTACTAACACATATGATAATGGTAGTGATGGCGTGTTAATTATCTCAGGCCTTTTAGGACAAGAACATAATGGATAAAGATAAAGATAAAAAGATGATAATATTAATAATTAGTTAATCGTAGATTAAATAATCAATGAAAACAATTTCCTTCACTTACTGAGTCTTCTGGGCATAGGAAAATGTTGCAAAGACTGAGAGAATGATGAGAAGAATAGTCAATCGTTGGGTAAACTTCATTTTTATTTTATTCTAATAATGTTTTTTTTTTTTGTAAATTATATATAAATGCTTGTATATATGTATTTAGAATTTTAATTTTTAGAGAATGAAGGGAATTTTTACGTCTATTTATATTAAAAAAAACCCCCCACTTAATTAAAAAATACGCGTTTCTTTTTTTCGTATAATACTAATACTAATTCTTATTTGTCAATTTAATTAATTAAAAAATTTAATCTAACTAATAATAGTATAATAAACTTTCATAGTAAAATAAACAAACTCCGTTTTGGTAAATTGCTTGATATGAGTTTGAAAATCATTCATTAATCTAATACTAATAATAACAGCAAACAAATCCGATTAAAATCGAGTTGTTCACAATAAAAAATTTTAAAGTTTATTATATATGAATTTTAATGGCAAAACAAACTCTCGGTGCCAGATTTTAAAACGGGTTTAATTATTTATATTTGCTCAAAAACTGTATTTGTGTATTATAAATAATATATTCAAAGTGAACCATATTTTTTATTAGTTTTGTATTTTTCTTGGCTAAAATTTTTATTAAGCAAAATGACGATATTTAATATAAAAATTGTCCGTTTTTAGAAACAATTTTATTATATCTTTATTAAAGATCGAAATTTTCTAGAAACTTCTAAAGGTTTATAATATTTTAATGTGCTTGGATTATTAATTATAATCCTAGTTGTCTTCCAAATCGTCATCTGTTAAATACTATATGAAAATTCCAATATCAGGCCACCAAATGTCAATGTTAATGATGTTTTTGTGCAAAGATATTGTTGGTCCGATATGCCATTTTAAAGCAATAGCTATTTTAAATTTGTCATCTAAGCAAACGTATAATATCCGGATCGTGAACTATGTCCGTAAAAAGTGGAATAAGGGTGCGCCAAGAGTTTTAAAGATTCCCAATAGTTTTACAGCTTTTTTTAAATTTACTTTTTGCTATAAACTTTTTTAATCATGAAACACCAGTTTGTCATCAGATGTTACGATTCGTTAATTACAAACTTTTAATCCTTTGAAGTATTATATTAGAAAATCTTGTACCAAGAAAGATCATTTGAATTGTTAAAATTTCACAGTAAACCAAAATTTCCAGCGCACGTTTTGCACATGGATTTTACACTCTTCTGATTCTGTAATTGTTAATCAATATCATGAAGCTTTCAGGTAATTTTCACAGCAAGACATCAATTAAAACAAATTAATCATTAACATTTGATTTTTTAGAGTCAATGAAAATATTAGAACATGACATAAATAATTGAATAAATGTTATTAATAAATAAATAATTGACGAACAATCAATTAAAAAAAAGTCGAATAACAACTCTACAAGAACAATAATTTATTTACACGCTATTAAAAACATTTATTTAAAAATTAAAATGTGAACATCAGGAATTTTACCACAATTGAAAGATGATAAAGGCGAGAGTAAGAACTAAAGGTAAAAAGAGATGAAATTGATTAATTAATGAATGAAATACTTACTGAGCACAAGCAAATATTATAAAGGCTGTGAATTTTTGAATCCTCGCTTTTAATAAAATAAAAACTTATAATTTTTTTCTTGGTGTTGGCGGGAAGCGATAATAATTCTATTTTATATACATATCCTATTAATTGTTTTTAATACAACACAATTTGATAAAGGTCATCAGACCATTTACACAAACTCGGCTATTTACATGTAAATCAAAGTATTTAAAAGTAATATGTTGGATAATTCTTCGGCTATTACTATTTTATCAGTAGTTGTTTGCTTCTTTAATCATGCACACGATCAATAATTTTATTGTCCCTTCGCAATTACACATGCGGTAGAATTGGTTTCTTGATGTCATTTTAATGTTAAAAGTAATTAAGGCATTGTTAAAAATTCATCTGATGTTATTAACACTTAAATCGACGTTCAATCATTTTATTACTTTGTTGTATACATAATAGATTTGTAAATACCTTTAAAATATTTTTTAATTTAAAAAAAAAGTATGTATATTAGCTATAATAAATACATAATAATTATTTTTTGTAATTTAATTATTTTTTATCAATTATTTGAAATACTTCTAATTCATCATATTTGCTATTATTTACTATATTAATGTTATTATAATTACTACTAATACTACCAATAGTACCCCCAATTTGAAAAATAATATCACAACCATTACCACCAAAAGCAGTTAAATATGAAGGACCACAGTAAACTGCATTTTGATGACTATGAATAACATAACTATACTGTGCGGAATTAATATCATTTCTATTATTAATATTAAAAATAAAACTTTCAGTTGTAGGTTTATTTGTATAATTTCCATTATTTAAATTCCAATCAAGTGGATTATAACCTCCTACTAATTGATCTGAACTTTGTATTTTGCCAACTACAAGGGTTTTGTTGATATTATCACATTTTTGATGGAACATAGCTATGTTTAAACTGTCTCTACTACTACGATATATAAGTTTAAATTCATATTTAACATCTCTGAATGAATTATATCGTGGACTTTTTCTATCAATCCAACTTGCAAAAAGTAAAGTAAGATTTTGATTGATTGTCAATGATTCATCCAACAGTTTAAATTTAGGATTTCTTGATGGTAATAAATTGAAAGTCTGTTGATTGTCAGCTATTATATAATAAAGTAAAAGGTCATTCCAAAATGGTTCTGGAAAAAGCTTCTGATATGGAACAATTTTAAAACCAAAATCCTCTTTAGAAATATCCTGAAATCTTATTAAAGAAAGAAACTCTTTTAATGTGTTGCCTAAATCAGCAAAATTTTGTGATGACCAATCTTTAACATTGATATTATTGATTTCTGGATGTTTTGCCAATCCCCATTTAAGAACATTCTCCCAAACAACCATCTCATTAACAGAAAAATCATCTTTTTTGAGAATCTCCAATAGAATTGGTTTTTCTAACAATCCAAATTCACTTGATTCAAATAATTTGTCACTATAATTACAAAACTTTTCTAAATAGATATTTTTCAATTCATTAAATCTTTCATTGGCATAAATCAATTGTAAAATTTTAACTGGATTTTCTTTTATATAATCTTCATGATTTTTAATAAAGTGTTTCATCATATATTCATAAAGTAACTCAATACCAAGTTGATCTGCTGCAATTATTAGTTCTAATAATTCAGCTCCAGAATAATTTTCAATTTCAATTTCACATGTGTATAAAAATCTTTCAATAATGAATAAATTATATAAATTATTAAGAGATTATTATATATTCAATAAATAAATAATAAATAAATAAATAAATAAATAATAAATTTATTAAACTTACTTGAGAATAGGCTTAAAACATTTTTCACTAATATTAGCTTCCTTAACAATATAATATCCATTTTCTTTTGTTGCATCATTTAATACATTGTTAAAAAATGGACAATGAGCAGATATGATAGATGCATGTGCATGAACTTCTTTAATGTTTGGTTCTACACCAAGATATATTCTTACATCATAAAAATTTTCTGTATTTAATAATCTTTCATTTTCATTGAAATATTTTTCCAAAATTGTTGAATCCATTTATTTTTTAAAAAAATTGAATGGCCAATCAGGTGTTACGTTCATATATTTTTTTAGGTGTGCAATTATAACTTTCCTTTTTTGTTAACAAGATATTGCAGAAACAGGAGCAGTGCGCCATCCTCAAGAACAGTCACCTGGTATCATCAAGCCTACTTTGTTAAAAATTATATACATTTATTATTATTAACATAATCAACGTTACAATATAATGAATAAATATGTCTAGTATCATATCAATGTTAGTCGGGTTGCTTTTCCTTATTATTATTATTATGTAATTTTAGGTAACACGATCAAAGGAAATAAAGAAAAGTTTATCACATAAGCTTTATTAATATTAATTATATACAATAAGTATTTTCATCTCCCGTTATTTAATGTAACATGTATAACATTCATTATTATTATTGTTATATTATGCAAATATACAATTGATCTCTATAAATAAAAAAATTATCTTTTTCATTCCTTGGTAAGTCCTGCTTCATCATCTTGTTCTTGTTCATTTCTGACAATTTCTTCAACAACTTTTTCAAATGATTTTCTTTTCTTAATGGATTTTTTTTCATTTCTTGGTGATGATGGTAAGGATCTTTTATTTTTTTTTTTGGAACCCTTGATATTTAGAATATTTAAAGTTTCATAAAAAAATAATCAATACCACTTGACTCAATCAATGAGTCCTCAAGTTTTTTTAGTGCTTCTCGATTCTTGTCAATATTTTTTCCTTTTTGGTTATTGTTTCTGATGATAACGATGATGATGATGATGGTTCTATGACTGGGTATGTAAATTTTAACTCCAGGGTCTCCAAATGTAAAAACTCATTCCCACCTGGTACTAATTTGCCAACTGTTGAAATCACAGTCCTTTTGAGGTTATCCTTGATGTATTGGAATCTAATCAATAAAATATTTATTATATAAATAATGCATCTAATATAATTTATATACTAGTTTAATTGTAAAAGAAAAATTTTCTTTACCTAGAATTGATAGGATATGATGTCAAAATTTTTGTTTCGAGATTTTTTGTTTTGGTGACTCTATTGTAAGTCTTTTTTGTTAAACCAATGCTCTCATATCCCAGTTTGTTATCCTTTTTGTGAGTATTGTTAATGTATGTCCCAGTGCATATAAATAGAGGGAGGGTTTGTGGTAATTGCTTATGGTCATTAGTATCATCATCATTATTATTACCATAATTGTTAATGTAGTTGCTGTTGCCATCATCATCATCACCATTGTCATCATTGTCATTGTCATCATTATCATTGTCATTATTGTCATCGTTGTCATTGTTATCATTATTCTTGTTATCATTATTCTTGTTATCATTATTATCATCACCATTGATGGTATCATCATCATCATCATCATCATCATCATCATCATCATCATCATCATCATCATCAT